AGTAACTTGAATGCCATTTATCATATGACATTCGACTTGCTGTGTAGTACTATGGGTTTGTGATTTGTAAAACCAAAAAAAAAAAACAGGAAATTTGGGACTAAACAATTTCTTAATAAACATTCGAGTTGATTCATCCACCAGTTCTGTTCCCAGGCATTTGTCCACGACACAGCACTGCTCGCACTCTGTGTGGCAGGTTATAGTGCACTGCCCATTGACCGAAAATTAATCCAGGGAAGACAGGCCACTGCAAATAGGCAGGCTGGTACATTCTGCCAGACCCAGCAAAGGCACGACCGCGTCGCAGACAAATGATCAGATCCAGCGCGAGAACACCCCNCCCCCCCCCCCACAATCGCCTTGGGTGACCACAAACCGAACTCGGAGATGAGGTACAATTTATTATTGCCCAATCCCCGTTTTTCCTTGCTATCGGTATGCTGTCGATCAGTTCTTCGACATTCTTCAAGTTATGATAGGTCTTCGCGCATCTTTCGTTTTCCATCTTCGGTTGCTGCTCATCCAACCCATAGGCGTTCTATTTTCCATATGCCTTATTCCACCCACACTCTCCATCTCTTCTTATCCTTTCCCAAGGGTGTCCAAGCTTGTTTTGAGTTTACTCTCTCGTGGATTTTGAACGGCAGTAAATTTCTCATTTGGTACAGTGCGGTTTTGTAAACTTTCTTTCCATTTCCATGGCAATTCCTGTTTCACAATTACCGTTCATAATATCCATTTTGTCTGTGGGGCTTTGTATTCCGTAGCTGGGTGCAAGAGACTGAGTGCCCCTCTGCTTGCTGGGTCTATTACACACTTGAATATTTCCATGGCACTTTTGTAATAACATGGTCTCTTGAAACGTCCCCTGCGCATATTTCCATGCCCATGCGGAGCCCCGAATGGGGGCCGTGTACCATAGCATGGAGAAAATTGATGAGATAACGACTAGCGCCCTTCCCATCTAAGGATGTGTATACCTTCTTCCATCCTCTCCTGCATTGATCGTCACATGAATTCCCTTTGATGATTTCATCCTAGACTACCAGCGTGTGTGACACCTTTCAATTTGACACGGGCAAAGAGAGCAAACACAAAAGGAACCTCAGTTGATCAATCACAGAGTCAAATCACGGGCGCTAACAGTCTGTAAAGTTGTGAAAACCACATTCATGCTGCACTGACATCCATGCCAAGTAGTAAGGAGGAGAGAGGAGGAAGGAGGAGGAGAGATGACATGAGGATATAGTCCTAGAAAAAATCCCCAACAAGATGTGCCGTGTCCATGAAACGCCATAAACATCAATAGCAAGGGGGTGCCGAAGCACCCATGTGGCATGTAAACATCAATGCTGTTCAGTGTTTTTTTTTTTTTTTTTTTTCCTTTTCTTTCAGAAAACAGTTTTTTCCTCCCTCAGAACATGCTCTTGTCTGGGCGGGCCGCCCATGCAACCAAACTGGCCCCGTCGACGCCGTTGGTAAGTCAGCTTTTATCATATTGAATAACATTGGTTGTCACATCATAGTATTTCACATTGTTCTCCACTGGCCCTATAGAGTCGATACTGCATATCGCACTAGTCGGTCAGGATTCGGCCTATGCCGACCTCCTGGAAAAAGGAAACAAGTCTTTCACATGCGACAACTCCATTGTCACAACATTCCCGTCCAAGCTCGAGGTTAAAACGATCACGAATGAATTCGGTATAATTATACACGTGTTCCAACTGCCGTACTTCAGTTGGGATACCAACAGACTCTTTGGGTCTAATTATAAATGTGTACCACCTGCAGACTCTTCGGGTCTAATTACAAATGTGTACCAACTGGCGTAGTTCAGTTGGTATACCCGCAGATTCTTTCGACTTCGCCTCCGGGTTCGAATGCCAGCTCAAACGTATAAGCAAAAGGTACTGCAAATTTACCTTGGGCTGGTCAGTTCGAACTTCCAAGGATGATATCTCAAGGCCGTCACCTTTCTAAAAAACAAGACGTAAAAAAGGGAGGCAATGAAGAAAAGATAAAAAATAGTAGACCACGACGTAGGCAGAGGTAAGAGAAACGAGATCGCAGAGCGCAAGAAGTATGGACACACTTCCAGGTGCTGAAGGAAAGACTTCCGCCACAGCTCCAAGACCATTGCTATTTCGTGGTGCTGAAGGGCAATCAGACCAAGGGTTAAGCCCGTTTGTTTCGAAGGTCCGCACAGAGGTGTTCGGGGGAAAAAACCTTGAACGTCAAAAAAACTGAAGTCGGCCAACACCAGAGAAGAGAAACAAACAAGCTTGGCAGAAGTACCTAACTGTGTAGATTGCACAGCTATAGCCGAAGCCGGGTAATGGCCCCGGTATTTCAAAGGTTTTTCATTAAAAAAAAAAAGAAAAAAAAAAAGAGGGCGAACCCACATTCCAGTATATGAAAAATCGAAGGTGTAACCCCCCATAGCATATGGCCCCTGGGTGATTGAGGTTGATGGGACACAGAAGGGACTGAGTCATGTAGCCCAAGTTCAAGGAGGGACTGGGGATCATAGATACGAGTAGGCAAATCGCACACCTATCACTCCAGTGAAATGAAAGAACTGATCTTTGCCGTGGTAGCTCCTTGTTGGACACTGACCCTATAATAAATAATAACTAGGCTGAGTCCAGAGAGTCCCTCATCAGTCAATGTGCAGAGTGTTGGCTGGAAGACATAACACAATTCCAAGCAAGTACTGGGGCAAAGAAGAACATCCCTTGCCTCACAAAGCTTGTCCTGATAGCCCAGCCACTAGAGTGGAATCCGCAACGCCTCTATGCTACACCAACAGGAATACAAACATGATCGACATGTGCAAAACGAGTTCATCCGGAACTTGTGCGGATGTTTAGCATCGTCGTAATGACCCGCCGATACTGGTAACAAATAATAACTAGGCTGTGCACTCGTTTAGCATCGTCCTAATGACCCGCCGATACTGGTAGTCTACCAGTTTCAATTGCTCTGAGATTTTTCTAATGTTCTTATTTCATACTCATATCATCCACCTATCGGTTGTATTTGGGAGACTTCTTGTGTCATTCTCTCTCTCTCTCTCTCTCATTCTCTCTCTCTCTCTCTCTCTCTCTCTCTCTCTCTCTCTCTCTCTCTCTCTCTCTCTCTCTCTCTCTCTCTCTNTCTCTCTCTCTCTCTCTCTCTCTCTCTCTCTCTCTCTCTCTCTCTCTCTCTCTCTCTCTCTCTCTCTCTCTCTCTCTCTCTCGACCAGGTGTTCTTCTAAGCCTTCTGCCAGCTTGTGGCCGGGATGATGCTGTCCCTTACTTGAACTGCTCTACATTTAATTTGAGTGATGATTGGGTCGAGATTTAATTGGATGGAATATCTCACCTGTGTGGAGGCTAGCTGCAAGTTGAAGGGAACATCATAGCAAAATGATTAAAAGAATCCATGCTCACAACGAGAAAACCACGAGGCATTTCTCCAAAACAAGACTCGAAGTATATGAGACAAAAAGCTTAAATGGAGCTGTCTCATTGCACATCAAACGTGGACACAAACCAAGAAGACGTCAGTCAATAGGTCACAGGTCAGATCGGCATCGACGGAACAGGAGAACGCCCGCCATGGAGGCGACTTGGACACACCAAGAGGTAACCTGATTCGGAGAATATTATCTAAAGAACCTTTTGCATGTGCGTGTGTGTGTGCGTGTCAGAGAGAGGGGGGGAGGCAAATGGAGAGGCATAGAGAAAGCCGAACTTGCATGCATGCAACATGAAGAATGCCACAAGAGGACACCTTATTCGGAGGGCATTATGGACGGAGAACATTTCGTGGGTATCACAAGGAATGAAACCAGGCAAACTGAAGAATGCCATCGTATACTCCTGCCCATGATATATGGAAACCGCCTGTCATTATGGAACCACGAGGATCTTCCAGCGCCAATTGGGAAGTACATGAGTTCCTTATGCTGTTTCATATATGTACCCGCATCAGGGGAAGCAGACTGCACAGCCCAGAATAAGAGCAACCAGCTGTGAGAGAGAAGCAAACATGCAAAAAAGAAGGTGCCCAACTAGTGCCAAGCAGACAATGCCATCCAATACTTTCCTCGAGTGTCTAAGGAGAAACTTTTGGAATTGATAAGTACCGGACCTTCAGTAACCAAGTAATCATAAATTTCGATATCACATCTGGCCCAACATAATATGCTGAGCATTGTAAGGGAACACTTCTGGAAACCATTCATCCACTTTCTCTAGAACGTTAAATCATCTCACAGCCTCATAATTAATAATTACATCAACCTAGTATTTTCTAATGACCGACAGCTCCATAAACTTGGTAGCAAAGAGAGATCTGTCTCAGCAGCAGCATTCCTACAACAAGCAGGAAAACCGCATTTCTCCCTTCGTTCCCTCCCCCTCCCTCCCAAAAAACACCCTAAAACCAGCCCCCCAGAACCCCCTCTTCATCCCCTTTACTCCCCAGCTCAGCAACACAAATATACATGCATGACCCCAGACCCCATACATCCGAGCTTCACTTGCAGTGCACACAGGCAGATCATTCTCCTGTCCGAAATGCTTCTTAAGACATGACACCATCCAGAGTCTGGAGAGAGGAAAACGACAAGCCTACTTCTGAGTCAGATAAAGTACACTGTACGCACCTAACCTGGAAACGTTGTCCACTCCCTCTCCTAAAGACACACTGCCATGCATGCAGTGGCATTTTAACAGTGGGGCAAACCTGTCCGTCGATGATGCATTTTCTGTGAATCAGGCAAGCCAAAACTGTAACGTTCACACAGGCAGATGTCTAGAGTGCAAAAGACAGACCTGTGTCCTATAATACCAGCATAGCAAATGATTTGCATGCTGCTCACGTACCAAGACACGATTCTAACATCCCCTCCTCCCAACTAAACTACCTGAAGTAGTGTCTTTGAAGGTCCAGCATGCCCAAAGAAGTCTGCTTGCAGAGGGTAAGCGAAACCTGAATACAACCTCTGACAAAGCAGTGAGCCTTTATCCGCACAAGGCACACATACACTCTAAATCACTTTTTTGTCACTGCTGACAATGAACAATTAATCACAAGTGACCTACAATCGGCATGTGCGGCTGATGAGCCTGAATAGTTGGAGAGATTTTGAGCCATTTCAAAACCGAATCTACCTAGTCACTACTATCTATCCGCACAAGGCACACATACACTCTAATCCCTTTTTTGTCACTGCTGACAATAAACAATTAATCACAAGTGACCTACAATCAGCATGTGCGTCTGATGTGCCTGTAATAGTTGGAGACTTTGAGCCATTTCAAAACCAAATCTACCTGGTATCTATCGAATATGCCATCTAACAAATCGGATCTGAACAACAATAAACTAAACCAATAATGAGGCAGCAAGTGTGCAAAATTTCCACGGAAGCAAGAACTGCTTGCTGCTCCGTTGCAAAATATCTCACTCCATCAGCCTTGCTCCTTGTATGTACCAATCAGTCACTTCTCACTCCCCCCCCCCCTGGGATGACTCCAGCTTGATCCTCGTATGAAATTCATGTACTTCAGGACATGACCCACACACAAAATATGCATCCACGAAATGTACCAGCATGTCGGCGTGTATTTCTCTTCTTCTCCTTTTCTCTTCTTCTTCTCTCCTTCTCTATGGCGATTGGTCTCTCACATGTCTGCTTGGATCTTGTCTCATGCATGATGCTGTAGGCCTTGTCGAATCTGATGATTCGTTTCTGGTTCGTATGCTCGTTTGGATATGTTGACATTTCAATCATCCGTCAGTTGCGCTGCTTTTCCGACAAGAAGAGCACAGTTGTTGGCATATCGACATCAGCAGACGGTCGCCACAAAGTAGAAGTCGAATAATGAAAGTGTCTGAGTGCCGAGCGTGCACAAGTTCGTGACGGCAGCTTCCTTGGTCCACGACCTTTCAACTCGAGACTTGACCCAAACTTCATTTGGTTGAAGACACCTTCAAGGAGAAGAGATAAGATTGCCAAAATCTCCAGCCAAGTACAGATGGATAACCAGGCTCAAAAGAATAGCCAGGATCAAAATTGCCAGGCTAGAGAATGGCCACGTCAATTGCAGGCTATAGAGTGGCCAGTCTCAATAGAATAGTCAGGAGGATATCCAGCTGCTGATGGAAAGGCGAAGTATCGTCTTATGCATAGTGATCAAACTCGACCCACTTACACTGCCAGTCGAGAGATGTTGGCTGCATTCAATCTGCAGCCCCTGAAACAGAATCTTGGCATGGTCATGCCAGCACTGAGAGCAGCTTGATGCTGATGGCCCATGATAATTGATACAGAGGGTAGCTGGACTCACATAGAGCAGCCCCTGGTGATGATGACTACAATGGACTAAATCCGTTTCTAAAAACAGGGTATAAACCTGAGTCTATCGGCTATATTTTCTACTTTGTCACAGATTCATGTCTAGCCAACTCGTTCACTTAGTGATCACCATTTGGGGGGATGGTAGATGTAACCCACTGTCCTGAACACTTCACACCTCCCACCGCGTCCCCCCCCCCCCCGCCTTCCCCCCTCCCCTCTCTAGCTTCACATCAGATTAGACTCGTTTTTCGACAAATAAATTGTTTTTAAATGCTCGAAATTCAACAAAGAAATCAGTACCCAAGAACTTACAATTCGTCCCAAAGTGAGTACTCTTTCTGCAAGCCGGACTTGGCATGAGAAGCAACCAGTAGTATTGTCGTTGCATGGAAGCCCAGTCGAAGGTTGCCCATGCAAGTAGGCTATCGGTGTTGCTTTCCCTTCCCCTTGGCGCTTAGAGGTACAAGCCGAGAGTAGAGGATTGGGTTCGTGTTGAGTTTCATAACCGGCTGTCCATTTGTGATCCCCTGCACCGAACGGCCCAATGAATGGCCCAACGCAGCAGCCAGTGGCACTGATACAGCATTTCCCACCTGCATATATCTGGCACAGCAACCCAAACCAAAAAAAGACAAGAATGGACATGAGACACGGGGTACGAGGCAGGAATAAAACATTTGCTGGATAGCCACAATCACAGTAGAGCTTGATGCAAGGCAAGGCAGTTCAATTTTCAGGGTCTACTTTCAGGGTGACTACTCACCCCAAATAAAAAAAAACTAATGCGCCACTGCCCACATTTTCATTTGATCCATTCAGAAATCTACCATTCAAACGGCATTCACATCATGTAAGTCCTTTTCACATTCAGGCGGGGTCACTGAGGTCAGCGACGAAAGCTCGCCTTGAAAACGGGTTGAGGTGAGTAGTCCTGCGGCACCCAATGTCATGGCCCTGCTTGGAATAAGCTCTTACCACACAGCCTCACACGAATAACAAACCTCCTATGTAGGAGGGGAACTGACACATAAAATCTCATTCCTTGTTAGCGACAAGCTGCCGTTCGGCATATTACTAGGCATGTACTATCGAAAGGTGCTGATCCACAAGTTGCCAGATGAAAGGACCATTAGGTTGCAAAAGTTTAAGGCTAGCAGACTAGTCAAGAGCTATGGTTGCATGTGCGAATCATCTTCTATAGCTACTACAATGAAAATTACAAGGAAGAAAAGGGAGGCCGTATAATCACCCCCAGAGATAGAAGCAGTCCTTGCACGGTATTCAGACATTTTCGAAAAACCTAGGGGTGTGGTAGAAATGTAGATTGTTCATGCAATAGAAGTCATTCCCGATAGCAAAGTACCTAGAGGACAAACCTATAGGATGTCTCTTGCGGAGTTAGATGAGCTCCGCCGCCAGCTCGAGGAGTTCACAGAGAAGGACTGGATTCGGCAAAGTACATCCCCCTACGGAGCACCAGTTTTATTTGTCCCAAAGAAAAAAGGGACCCTAGGGATGTGCATTGACTATAGAGACCTCAATGCCATCACCGTTAAGAACACAGAGCCCCTACCACGCATTGACAACCTCTTGGATATAGTTCAAGGATGCCGATACTTTACTAAGATAGATCTGAAGTCCAGGTACGGTCTGTACAAGTTTGTGGTGATGCGCTTTGGCCTATGCAATGCTCCTAGGACATCCCAACACGCAATGAACCAGATATTTTATGAATACTTACACAGTCTATCATTGTGTACCTAGACTATATTCTTATCTTTAGTAAGACTGTAGAGGAGCACACTGAGCACGTGAAAAAAATGCTAGGTCTCCTAAGACAGCACCAGTACAAGGTGGCACCAAGATCTTGTATCTGGGTCATGAGATTTTTGCATGGGTCATGAGATTTTTGCAGATGGTTTGAGGCCGAACGATGCTAAAGAGGCCATCATGTGTGACTGGCCCAAGACTGAGGTGAGGTTATTTTTGGGAATGACAGGCTATTATCATCCATTTGTGAAAAATTGTAGCGCGATAGCCTCCCCACTAACTGACCTCACACGCCTTGACACCCCTTGGGAGTGGACCAAAGTGTAAGGCAGCCTTCAAGAGATCGAAGTATGCCCTGACTCACTACAAAGTCCTCAAACTTCCGGATCTTGAACAACCCTTTGTTGTGACCACAGACGCTAGCCAATATGGCATAGCCGCGGTCCTTGCACAAGAGAGGAAAAAGTTAAGGCCGATCGAGTACATGAGCAAAAAGATGCCATCTCACGTATGAGCTCACATCTATTCCCTCGATAGAGAGTTGGTCCATTGGAGGCAGTACCTCTTAAGCAGATTCTTTTATGTGAGATCTGACCATGAGACGCTCCACTGGATCAAAACACAACCCATGCCCTCTGACGCACTCAAAAGGTGGATTGAAGTCATAGACATGTAGGACTTCAAGCTCAACCTTCTAAAGGGAGAATAGAACAAAGTGGTTGACACACTATCACGAAGGGCAAACTATCTGGGCGTGATAGTGACTGAGTTTCGAATATCTGACAATATAACTCGATCCATGGTGGAAGCCTATTGAGAGGATGCGGTCATGTCTGAGATGAGTTTCTGCTGGTTGACAACTTGCTGTTCCTTGAGAAGGCCATGAATAAACGGTTGTGTTCTGAATAGAGTCTTTCGTGTCGTGGTCCATTTTTAGGAGTGTCACAATGCAACTGGTCATTTTGGCCACCAGCAAACTTAGTGCAGAAATTTTGGTGGCTCACAATGATGGATGATGCAAAGAAGTATGAAGAAACTTGCCAGGTTTGTCAGCATGACTACCACCATGACTCCCAACCAACTGCATCTTGTTTGGAAGCCGAGATTAGCATCAGACTTCCTGTTGCCTGAAAATCAGACAATTGCAGCCCCAGGCAGCATAGAGTTTGCTGTCAAGTATGAACAGATGCTACAGCAGGCTGTAGAGCACATCAGGAAAGCTCAAGAGACCATAGTTGCATCTGAGAACAGACTCAGACAACCATCTGAGTTTCAAGTAGGCGAAAGAGTCTGGGTAAAGTCATCTGAGTTGGGGCAGGAATTGGGAATCTCACATAAACTGATATAGTGGGAGATCACCCAGACAGGCCATCATATGTCATTCGCATCCCTGGACACCTACATACCCACCCTGTCTTCCATGCATCAAAGTTGGCACCTTTCTCTGTCACTGATCAGTTTCCCTCCAGGAGATCGATGCTGCCCCCAACCATGGACGGACATGTGGACATTGACGACATCGTTGAGCACAAGCTGATGCCGGTAACCAAGCCTCCAGGCAGGGAACGCCCTCCAAAACCGCAGATGCAATATCAAGTACGTTTCAGACATCCTACGGATCCTAAAGAAGATCGATGGTTCACCAGAGAGGAATTGATGAAGACTGCTCCCCAAGTCATCACAAGTTTTGAACGAAGTTTGAAAGGGAAGCAGCCTGCTGTGCAGCAACTTCTCAGAGGACTATCGAATTAAAGGAGGAGGGAGTTCGAAGGCCCTGCAGCAGGCATGTGCCCGCCCTAACAGTTGCCACGCACCAGTTGGTTACATCCGTTATGCACGTGAGAATGGGAAAGATTTGTGAGCCTTCCAGGTCATTCCCAACGTGGCCAAAGCAGGGGACATTGCACGTTCGTGCCTGGGTGGTTGGGCATGCCTAACCAATTCGGTCCCAGGCCACTGTCTGAACGGCCCTGGCGCAGACACTTTGGCAGAGACTTAAGCTACTGGAAACTCGGTCTCACGTGACGGGAAAGCGCTCGCCACTTTCCATTTAAAAAAGGGCCGGGCGCCAGGGACGGGATTCGGCACATGCAAGCACATGCGGAGCTGCTTCTGTGCTAGCGTGTGGCCAAACGTGTGCAGGCATGCGGTCGTGGTGGTCTTCGTGTACAGGAAGAGGGTCAGCAGAGGTGGTGGTGGTCTTCATGTACGGGAAGGGGACGTGGGCTGATAAGACGAGGGAGAGAGAAATTAAAGAGAGAGAGAGAGAGAGAGAGAGAGAGAGAGAGACGAGGATGATGATGTGAGGGCACATACCTGGTCCTGGCAACATCTTCATGTACTTCGGTTCTTCTGCTGACGTCAACAGTTGCATTGTCAATTCCTAGGCTGGTAGGAGAAGGGCTCTGGATACTTACTTTGTTGATGGCGAGAGTATGCTGTCATTAACACTCGGATTCAGCGTTTTGGTTCTCCATTGGTGTAATATCGGTGCAATTCGGCTTTCTGTACAGTGTCAGACTTCCTGGTTTTCAATGAGATTTTGCAATCTGGAATCTGTCATTTCGCTATTGCTCGTTTTCCTTGCAAATGTTGATGCTTTCATTTAAATATCTACACCTGGCAGCACCATTAACAATTCAGCCATGTATTGGCAACACAGGTACTGTAATATCTCATGGACAAGGTCTCCCACCAATATTTTCCATCATACGAGCACAATGAACACTGCTAGCACATACGAGAACAGAAATCAATGCACATCATCATGTGCCAAACGGAAAAAGAAAAGTGCTCAGGTATGCTGGCTGCATATAGCATCTACTTACCGAGCCTTCACTGTTCCAAAGAGCTTGTAGTGGTCTGGGAAGCCTTGAAGCCGTGCATTCTCCCGTATCGTCAGCACACGGTCTTGAGCAGGATGAAGAACACTCTGGGACAGAATTCAGCAGAGACTCCAGTTAGAATATAAATCCCAGTGAGAAGATGACACTTGCTACAACAACGGTTAGAGCTGTGCAATGCCATGGAAGCCCGCTCTTAGCAAATAACACAGATATGGGAAAAAAAAGGTCAGCTTTTCAGTTCCATGTATGCATGCACTTGTGCATGAAACAAAGCGGAAGAGAGACTGGCAGATACACAACGGGAGAGAGAGATAGCGGGAGAAAGAGATGGAGAGAGAGAGAGAGAGCTACTTGTAGAAAGAAGCGAATCAGTGCAATAAGTCATGGATGGCTGAACAACCCTATCCCCCATCGCAGCAAAGACTCCGATAACCACTCATCATCTCTGCAGTTATCTGCAATGGATACGCACCACAACTAGCAGAGTCTACACAGCGTGTAGGGTCTGCCACCTTTACTAGTGAAGCAGCCCGCAACGTAGTTTGTACTGTCTACCAAAATTAACGGGTTTTCCTTCCGAGTTTGCCAGACAGCCCGCAACGTAAAAAAAAAAGGGCGACGGCCTTGAGATATTATCATTGAGCAGACAGGGCCCAAGCAATTCACTAGTAGTTCAACTTGGTTTTACTCGTCAAGTTCCATCTGGATTCGAACACAAGACAGCCCGCAACGTAGTTTGTACTGTCTGCCAAAATCAAGTATGTGCCAACACCACTGGCATAACAATTTTCTCCCATGCCTGGCTGGTTGTGGAAGTTGGTCCATTCTTTCCAGCCCGCGCCAGGAGTTAGGCGCTTGGGTGCTGCTCCCGCACAGAGCAAAGTGAGGTAGGTGTAGATCCATAACCTTACGATAGCTTAGCCCTGGGTAGTACATTTAAGGCTGGTCCCCCTTCCGATGTAGGGTGGTTGCTTCTCTTCTCCTGAATAGATGTGATCTGTTACCTGCCTGGTTGGGCTGTGGGTAAGGCATAGACATGGGTAGCTAGTGTGAGGCAAGGAAAAAAGCATTGAGAGCAGAAAATAGAGTAGTTAAAAAATACAACTGTCCCTCATATGAGGAGAAAACAACTGCATTTTATGTTTTTACATTTTTCTTTTGAAAAGAAGAAAACTCGGGGCTCACCTGATTATGCGGCTCAGCTCGTGTGACGACAGTGGCAACAATTTCATCCCACCACAACCTTCCGAAAGGCCTGTACCCACACGAAATCAGAACACCCATTAGGACAAGCCAACGCACCAGAAACCTTTGAGAATTTGAACTGCATTCCTATGTCCGGCAAACTGGACTCTTTCCAGTACTTGGAAAAATTTCCAGCTTTTTCACTGACCCTGTTCCCAGCAGCATGTGTCACTCACCAACAGATTCGATAGTTGGAGCTTTCTATTTTTTTTGCTTAACTTCCACACACAGTACCTGTCATAAAGCATTAGGCGACCACAACTCTTAAAAGATGCACAGGTGAACATCACCACAAGTTCCTCTTTGAATAGTACGTAAAGCGAAAAGAGCACAAGACAAGGCAGTAGCAGTAACAGTGCGACCGTTCCTATTTGCCTTTTCTGCTCAGTTCGTGCTTTCCTTTCTTTCTTTTGGCCTTGAGCTTTTCCTTTTCATTGTCCCTTTCAGGTGGAAGGCAAAACGACAAATGCCGAAAGTTCTCAATTAGTTTGATTTCCCAAGATCTAGTCGTCTTGCTCAGGTGGCACTTCCTCAAGACGTCAGCTGACACGACATAATTACTAACAAAAACAACAGAGATGACAAATCCTCACAAATATCCAAAGATGAATCCATACATCCTGCATGAAAAGACACCATGTCCATGGAAAACAAGTACGTTCTCACCTATATGTTATTGCACATAGGAAAGAGTACCAGGACACAAAAACACCGAATCACAAACATAAAGACACATGAGATGCCAGAAGAGTCGTGTTGGAAGAAATAGAAGAAACATTAAGGAGGGAAGAGAGAGGACAAGGGGAACCAGAGCTAGGACAGAGAGGCAGAGAGCTTCAAATGTTAAGTCTCAATGCTCCCCAATGCCAAAGCTGATAAAAACATGCAGTTACCACCGAACTGGCATGCAGCTGATGAATACAAACGGTTTGTCAGGTCTGTGCGACATCCTCAACTTTCACATGATGTACGGCATGCAGCATCCTCAACTTTCACAAGATGCGCGGCATGCAGCATATTAATACCGGGATGCATGGAGCAAGAGCTTTGGCTCGACAACACAAGCGAACAAGCTGCCTGATGCAGATTCATGTATTGGCCACCCTGGTCATCACCCATCACTATTTCTTCTTTCTTGGGGGAGTAACAATGGAATTACTCAGCCTGCAACTGCTTAGCAGCAACGTAGTAGTGCTGCAACTTGGTTCTAGGGAGGGACATTCTAAGCAAGTTGTCGGTCTGCACTTGCCAAGCATCATTCTGAAAGAGCAAGAATCTGTGTACAATCATGTTTCCACACAATCGTCAGGATTGGCTTTCTTAATGTCATTCGGAGAGAGTATGAGTACGGTTTGGTGGGATGGACAACAGAGAGTACTCACTTCATGGATCGGCCTCCTACGAATGTGATTGCATAGTCTGGGCACTGCAACATGACATAATAGACACAATAGAGAATAGATCAGTACCCATGAACTCAGTCATCACACTGCAAAAGAAGTACCAGAACCATCACAGGAGTTTGGCAGATGGAAAACAAACAGCAAATACATTTGCAGCCCATTTCAAAGGAGTATGGGTGCCATTGAGAGAGTAGATCATGTTCTTACTTTGTTAGATATCAGTCCAAATGATTAGAGGAGACCCTTAGTCAATGCTGTTTATGAGTGCTATTGAGAATGTAGATCCTGATTTTGACATGTTCTTGCTTTGTTAGAGATCAGTCCAAATGATGAGAGGAGACCCTTAGTCAATACTGTTAAAGACTTCCCACTTCAGCCTTGGCATCATACGTCATGATCCTTCTCATTTTAACTCGTCTTGCCATCTAAATATGTTTGTTTTTTTCTTCATAAAAGGGCAACGGCCTTGAGATATCTAGGTCGTTCAGAATGGCAGCTTTTCGTTCATCTGCTTCCCATGAGGGTAGGTTTGAACTCAGGTCTGTACTTCAACAGTTCAAGGGTGAACTAACTGAGCTACGCCAGTTGGTTGCCGTCTCAATATGTCAGATTCGATAAGATGGAAAATAAATCGACAGTTGAGGTAAAGTCACATGTATGCGAGGCTAGATAGGCAAAACGGTGGTGCACATGTTGCTTTCTCTCCCGAGGAAAATGTGTTTTTTCTCCCTTTTTCCAACATTCAGCGTATGCAGGCAATCTGTTCCAATCCAAACGGTTCTCACCAAGCACCCACGAGAACGCAGTCCACTCAGGCAATAGATCGTCAAGGAAAGACGTGAGTAGTCCCCCACCGCAGGCCCTCACCAGTTGTTTTCCAGAGCTAAGCAATACTCTCTTCGTTAGTCTGCATGTTCCGTCTGGCAATGTCTCCACACCTTCTAGATCACGGAAGTTTGCACCCTGCAGCACGTAAACACCAAGCAGCAAAACATAGAAAACACTTCCAGTTAGCTTGCCCTGTTATATCAGTGTCTCTGGGTGGACTCACCGAAAGGCTGGGCATTGGCTCCATCTTCGGCAAGGAAATTACATTTGCAGATTACAGAAAACAAATGTAGTAGCCTAGGTAATTCCTTGGCAGTATGTTGTTGCAGGGGCAAGCTAGTCTTTCACGTCATGCTTGAACTTGCCTTTGACATGTCCCTTCACAATACTGCACTACGAGCGATATGTTCTTGGGAGTATGTTGTTGCAGCAACCCAGACCCTCTACCGTATGATTGTGACCGTTCCTGGTTTCACGAGGTGTGCCTGCTCAGCAGATCCACAAGCCGGTTCTGGCATGCTCTATCGTGTATGCTGTTCAGCAAGTGGCAGCTTCATTGGAAAGGAAACAAAATATCATGCAGCTTCGTCACTGCTTCAACCACCATCATCATCATGGAAGTATTGCACCCATCACTTGGTTCCTCCTGTTCTTCAGCATGTAAGGAAGATGCTGCCCAAACGATGACCATGCTGTTTCGGTACCAGACCTACAGTTTCACGCCAACTGTTTACACCCTCCTTCCTCAGCACACAGTGCCTCTCCTGCTACTGCATGAGTACTCCAACCCTGAATCCAGTGAAATCTCCTTCTCTCCCCCACCCCTCCTCCCCCTCTTCGCTTTCGCTCACTCTTTAAGACTGGTTCTTGGTTGATTGAACATCTCTCCCATGTTCAACAAGATCATACACCATGTTAGGCTCCTTCGGTGTACAGACTGACAAGAAAAAGGAGGATCTAGAGCGTTTTGAAAGCTTACCTTCTTCCTTGGTATTTTGCAACTACGTGCATAATCGTCGTCGTTCATTTCAAGTGGTCTATGATCATAGAGCAGAGAGTGGACCTTGTCATCTGAACCTGCGAGAATCCAAGGGTGTACAGTGAAAGCAAAGCAGAGTTCATCCGTCAGCTGATGAATGATGTTTTCATTTCTCAGTTCCCGTACTTCGAAGACCCCACGTGAGATTCAGTAAACTCTAACAACTTGTTCTACAGACGCATTCAATCTTCTGGCCGCAATCTCTGATGCATCCTGGCAAAGATTTGCAAAGTACACAAAAGTAACACATTTAAGAAAAGAGAGAAAAGAAAGGGCGGTGGTGTGGAATGTGCAGCGAACCTGGACGGGGTTGCCTCAATAGCTGCTGGAACTCCGTCTTTGGGTCGCTTGCATACGGCATTTCATCTCGCCGTTCATGGTTTTTGACCTGTATGAAGGGAGGCAAGATTGGTAAGAAACACATCTAAGTGGACAAAATAAATCAGCAAGAAAAAGGTGAGGTCGTGCCCAGCCAAGCGCCATCTACAGGAACATAAGAAAAAGAAGGAACCCTCATCCATCTGCGGCAACCAACAGACTGCAGCCCGTTGTTTGTCTCAACTTACTTTCTCATAACCTGCTTTCAGCTCTAGAAATAGAAAGCACAGAGGTCGGTGACAGGTTCTCATGGGGAGTGATAGGCGACAATCCCTTACCGGGGGAAGATCAGTTATAGCATCTGCCAAAACCAGCCGATCTTTCAGCTTGACCTTCTCAGTTTCCGTATAAGCAACGACACACTCCTGATTCCCAAAACAACACAAGCGAAGGACGAAACATAATGAGCAGCAGGCAATACCCGCGACACACATAGCACCTACAGCAACAATACTCACCACGGTCAATGCAGCAACTGCAAAACTAACTCTGAAAAAACACAAATGAAAAAAGAAAAAGGGAGTCATGACCATCGGAAAGGAAAAGGGGGAACAGACGTTGGCGCTCTCACCTCCCAGTTGGCCGGAGTGTTTCCTCTCGCAACAACGTCATGCGTTGGGAGTGGATAGGCTGGTAACACCTGTAGAATCCCAGAACATCCACGGAACACACCAGACAAAACAAAAAAAAAGCTCAGAACTATCAATTCTAGCTAGTCAAAAAAGACCCATAATCACTTTCCAGCGTCCGGCACGGAATCAAAACCTGACCCTTTCCATGGCAGTGGAGTGGTAAGAGAAGATAACAAGGCCATTACCCGTGAAGAGCATGGACAACGTTTTCAGCATAAGTGAGATTTGTATGTAACCCTGGATAGTTGTTTTTTTTGGTAATACCATCTTTCATCCTTGAACAGTCAAACCGGATGATCATTGACTTAATATTCACCAAAGACACCCTGTCTCAGAAGCAATTATCCATCCTCTCGGTTGGCCTCCACAGCACTAGTTCGGGACAAATATCGAGTCTGTTTCAAGCTCAGACGAAGGAAATCCTCTTACAGAAACGGCCCATTCATGACACCACTTACTCGTGTCATCTGTGCTGAATCTGTAAAACATAAAACTAAAAGCTTGATGTCACATTTTACTGAAAACTCCAGTCGAGGAGAATCCCAAACATGCGTATATTGAGAAACTAGTCAGTCAATCTCATGGCATTCCTCACTCCTCAGGTGCTGTTCACTAGCGATGCCTTCAGAAGGGAAATCGATTCCTCCACAGACATTCACAGTCATCACCGACAAGGACAGTAAACACTGCCAGATACCAAGCAAAAGGAGCAAGGAGAGGAAGGGAACAGAGAAGGCAATCTACATGAGGAGAGGATTACATAATAAGAACCAATTAATGCAAACCAAGGAATCGGATTGATAAGAAGCCGCATCCCTACCTCACTCGGAATAGCGCCCCAAATAAATACACGTGCACGGTACTGAGGTACTCCATAACACCCAGCAACCATGACACCAAGCCGTGCCTGCAAAACAAGACGAGCAAGAAAACTGAGTGAGGACAGGAAAGGAACAGAAATCGCCATTTGACCATTCCTTGTCTTGTTGCAACAACTAAAAAACACAGGATTTTATATAATCAAGTACGAATGATTTTCACAAACACACGAAGGCGTTGGTTGGCTGCCACTGGAATGAGTTGGGACATTACACGGAATCAAAGTGAGCAGAGGGCATGTGAATACCTGGTAATGCATGTCAACAAGCCTTGTGAGTGCATATCTGCCAAGAAAACCAGAGCTGAACTTCAGAATGTCCACCACATTCTCCATCAGAACATAGCGTGGACGTAAGAACTCGACAACGTCCATGAATACTGCCATCTGCTGATTTTTCGGGTCCTCCAAAGGTGCCGCATAGTTCCGGAAGCGGTTGAATCCACTCACACCCTGGCAGGGTGGGCCTCCGCAGATCACATCAACATCCCCCTGAAAGACAATGCAAGACAGAGAACGAGAGCAAGAGCCAAATTAGCACATGAAGCAAATGGTGGAACGCTTGCGTTACACTGATTATGCAATAATAAGGGCTCAAGCAGATGAAACACTGCTAGAGGGCATGTTAAGGCCGCAAGCAAATTCACTGTAACCAACCCAGTAACCACCGAACGAACCCAAGGCAGTTCATCAATAACCCGGCGATCAAAGGACAATGGAAAACCAAGCTGGTCAACAAACATGAGGGAACGAGCAGCACAAAGGTGGAGAAATGAAGGCAACGGGAGACTGGTCTGTGTATGATACTTACCGGAAGAGGAAGCCGTTTCTCTGCTTTAGACAGCAGAATGAACTCGCGCACTTTCTCTTGTGCATTCCTGGACAGAAAGGCAGAAGAGGCAACATAAAATAGAATCAACAGATCAAACGAGCACACAACCTGTATAACATTCTTCTCCGTATTGACAAGCTAAGTGCCAATCAAGTCAATTACGTCCAAGTTAGACATCCGTCCCCTTTCGCTCCCGGAGTTGACGGAATTGAGATATCGACAAGCACGTGCCCACCCGCTTCTACTCTTCTCCGCTGCCCTTCGTTTCCATACGGTCATCCCTGCACCTGTAAATGGTTGATCCCGCAATCAGTCAGGTAGTCACTGCCTCACACATGCGGAGACATTGGTTCGCCACTAGTGGCTCGAGCCATAACACCAATTCACCCTGGCATTCCAAGTAACAGAAAACAAAAGGAAGAGGCAGAGAAACAAGAAGGCTGCAATATACTAAACGGCAGTAGCTGCTAAAAAGACGTCGAGTTCCAAGCTTAATAAATGACTAAAGACTGCTGCTTCCATTCCCAGCAGCTGGAGAGACCAAAAAGGCATGCAGACATTCCGGGCAGAACACAAACGCGCAAGGCAACATAACAGGATTCACAATAGATTACAAATACGAAGCTGAAAGCACAATAGTGGCTTCCATTTTTTAATGCTTTCCGTTCTTATTCTGCACTCTTTTACCAGAGAACATTGTAATTGCTTCCCTCCAGTTGTGCCCTTGGGACAGACGGGATTGCCCTCTGTCCCAACGCTTCTAGGCACTGATTCGAGTGTATCATGTGGCCAACATCTGACAGCCAAAGGTAGTATGCGCCTACAATCACCTGACAGTCAGGCAAACAAAAAACAGAAGGCAGTTACAGACGGAAGAGATAGTGCCAAGTTTGGATGAATATTTCTTTTGCTGACAAATTGGGAGGGCAGGGTGGGTGGAGAGGACGAGTAGCGAGGAAGGGAATCAACAGAATGTGTCATTAGCATGCACGAGTTATGGAGCAAATAACACGCACAGAGAGAGAAGGCAGACAGAAAAGGCCTGGGAAGGAGAGAGAGAGACACACATAGCCGAAACTGAGATAGGCATAGCAAGAGCAAGTAAAGAATAGCCGAAACTGAGATAGGCATAGCAAGAGCAAGTAAAGAAGAGAGATTATCCCGCAGAGCGGAGCGAGCATGTGAGGCAGTCCAAGGAAGATGAGAGCGGAGGCATACTCGAGTGCATCGTCCGTCTCCCACGTATCTTCATCTTCGTCGTATCCAACCCAGCGGATCTATTTCATCAGCACAACCATAAGAACATCACCATCATTAATTGTCATTCATGAACAGACACATGGAATCCAACAACATTTCTGGTACCAAAGACATCAATGCGTTAGGACCATCGATTCATACGTGGCAGCCACACTGGCATAATCACAAAATCCAGCAAGAGCACCCTTGCGAAACTAAGGAACAACAGAAAGCGTCCCGCACCATCACTTTATCCTGAGACGAAACGGCCATACATCTATCTGTCCATAGATGGGCAGACAATGTCTGTGGCTTTCAGGGCCTCGTTGGCAGCTTCTCAACCCATGGGAAGAAATGTATGGTGACTAGGTAGAGAATGGTTGGGTACATACCTTGTACTCAAGGTGGTTGTCAGGGCTTCCCGCCCATCGAATGTCAACCACCTTCTCCACCTCGTACTCCTCGTCTGAGGGCTCAGTATCGCTGTCATCCTCCTCTATTGTCAATCTGGCGCTGCGCCTCTTGCCACCCTTCTTAGCTCCGGACGACTGTTTCTTGGCACTCTTTGCTTCGTTCTGTTTAACCGGCTCTGGCTTTTGCTCCACTGGAGAAGACTCACTATACTTCTCGGACAGCTTTTCCCATGCCTTAAGAAGTCCCAGGAAATCCCCTACATCCTCGTTGCGAACCTGTGCAAAGAACATTTTGCCATTCAGCAGTGCATGGACACCAGTCAATGTCTCTTTCAAAGAGGCAAGGACAACCTTATGGGTTATCTTATTACGCACTATCAGTGCGATTGGCAGATCCGTTCATCCTTCCCAAACATCCAAAACTGCTTCACAGCTTGCAGAACCAATTGAAAAAGAGATGCGCGTTCTCGATCTCACGCCATGGCAAACAATGACTCCGATTTTCAGACCTAAACTCGGCATCCAACGGCATGCAAACCGTCAAGTTTAAGTTCAAACAGGATAACCAAGCTCCCACGGGAAATCCCACCAGGATTCTAAAAAGGAAGAAACAGTGAAAAGCATGCACAAACTGATGGGAAAACATATCCGCATGTTCCATGAAATGTAAGACGATCAAGGCTCAGGAGACTCGGGAGAGAAAAGCATGACAGCAAAAAAAAAAACACGGGAAAAGTGAGCATTGTGGACGACTGACTTGGGACAGGTCACTCTAGTTCCCCAGGTCTAGATCAGGCCAAAGCAGCCTCACCTCTGTGTTAGGATGGTTGTAACGGATGCTTTCGCAAGCTTCCCTGTTGAGATCCACCGCCCATTTCTGCAAAACGCAATCACCCACCACCAAACACAGCAATTTGAGCGCAGAAAAAATCAGGAAAGTACCGTGACCCGTTTTCCAGAAGGTGACGCTCCCCACCAATAGATGGAGCCTCTCCCCGGATGCTAGTGGTGCCTGCTTTTATCAGCAGCACTAGCAATGCAGGGGGTGTTGTTCAAAAAAAAAACACAAAAACGCCACAGATGGAAGCACATCAACAGGTTCATAGGGTGATAGACCAAATGTGTCCAGAAAATTGGCTCTCAGTCAACAGGTTCGACCCTTTCCGAGCCTTGTTTATAAGAACTGCAAGTATGACCAAATGTCCTCATATGTGGCCCAATAGCCAGAAATTAACGGAGGGCATTTACGGCATCCTTGAAAAAGATGCGATTTTGGAGGCTCTAAACAATGGTGCTAAGGGTGAAGCCTCTATACCTCCACAGCCCTGACATAAGTCACAACGGTGAGCCCAAGAAGAGTCGTGGTGGTTGGCAGGGGAAAAAATCCAAATATTCGTGCAATGAGCTGTTGTTCAGTGGATGCAAGAGCTTCATAGTGCATGAGCAAGGGGAACACAAAACTAGGACGGGAGACATGCATAGCAAAGCATAACAAGGAGTTCGTCCACGCCTAACACAATTGCAAACGCAAATAAAGATACATCGTCTCCTAACACAATCAGCTCTGTCGCTTGATGGGCACGACCACCACACCTATACATGATCAACGCAAATAACACGGCAAGATGCATGAACATGAGGCGATCGATGCAGGTCAAGGGCCAATCTTCCCCATTTACAAAATAAATGGATGGATGAAAAGAGCGCATTCAACCAGATGGCGAAGGACAGAACGTGGATGCACTGGGCTGCCAACCAGGCTGATTGAAACCCCGGGTCTAAGGAGGACTTCCGCCTACACCCCTGCTAGCATGAAGCCACCCTCTTGCCCCTGCGACGGGAGAATGAGGATCGTAAAGAGACCAGACAAACCTTGAGGAGAGGACACAAGCACATGGCATCGCAAGATTCGTGATGGCAGGAGCAGTTCGGCAGGGACCTGGAGATGCAACAGCGCCCTCAGAGATGAAGCGAAAGCCCAGATATGCCAAGCAGGGCATAGGAGGGCAGGAAGAATGAGAAGGGGAAGATGCAGAAGCACACGCATTGTGTATAGAAGGGATAGTCAGTCCCAAAACAGGGGGGGAAGGGGGACGGTGGAGCCCAAACGAGAAACCTAGGCTGCATGCGATATAGAAACCCTAAAAAAACGTGAAGAGGGGAAATCGGTCGTAGAAGACAGCACAGACAAAGAAGCGTATAGTATGTTACCGTCTCTAGCTTCAGCCCAGCTGAGCGCACGCCATAGCCCAGACCAGTTGACATTGCACCGCAACCACAGTAGAGGTCCAACAGGGCGAGCGTCCTTCGGCCGTCTGCGTCTGAACAAATTCCGGACTCCACAGCTCGCCACTTGGTTTTCCGTCCTGACGATTTCTGAGCGCTGGTAACCTGACCTGATGGCTGGCTCCTTACAGTTCTGCTCTCAGCTTTCTGCTCTGCCTCAGGAAAACAAAGAACAGTGAGCGGAGAAGAACAGATATGTCAGCAGGCGAAAACGTTGAAAACTCCAGAATGATTCCCACCAGTGGTTGAGGTTGGGACACGCAATCACTATATAAAAGGCTCCACTTTCGCGATTCAATGCTCATCCATATACTGATCGGTGCCCAAGGACACTCGATAACCATTCCCACCACCAACCTTCCTTTTTCCATCACCAGGGCCTCTCTCGCTATTAACCCTACAATGGATCTTTGAGATTTTCCAGTAGGCTACGTGGGCCGTTTGTCATCGGCAAACCTTCACGAAACTGAGAGTTTGGAAAACGGAAGACGACGACAATCGTGAGTGGATGGTTCTCACCTGAACTGTTGTCCATCTTCGCCGGAGAAGAAATTTGGTCAGGAGATTGCATAATAACACAGCTGTTATCACTCCCGTTGCAACTTCCGCCTGGTAGAGCCTCTTCGAAATTACCCGGGGTCACCGCATTGTTGAACATTGTTTCGTCAATCTCCACAAGGTCATCTCCAGATTGCGCCTTATCAGTTACCTCACACGAGTCTGATTCTGCTCCATCAAACAGGGGGACATGAGAGACAGAGAAGATAAGCTGTGCTATGCAGAAGCACAAAGCATAGATAAGCATTGTCCGCATACCAATCCATCTGGGTATGCCTTCCCATCTGCCATTCGATCTGTCTTTCCATCTGCCGTTTTTTCTGTCGTTCCATCTACCTTTTGGACCTCTACTGCGGTTCCATCTGTCGTTCCATCTGTCGTTCCATCTGACATTCAATCTGCCATTCCATCTGCCGTCCAATCTCTCATTCCATCGGCCATTCTATTTGCCATTCCATATGTCGTTCATCTATCGTTCCATCTGTCGTTCCATCTGCCATCCCATCTGTCATTCCATCTGTCATTCCATCTGTCATTCCATCTGCCATTCCGTCTACCTACCGTACTATCTTACACCCATCTATATGTTTTATCCAGGTTTTTATATATCCCTTACGTTTCTAGCTATATCTCTCTCTATCTCTCTATCTATATTTCCATCTATCTACCTTTCCCCCTCTTTCTCTCTTTCTATCAGTCTATCTCTCTATCTCTATCTACCTATCTCTCTATCCATCTCTATCTCTCTATCTACCTATCTATCTATCTACCCCCCCCGTCTATCTATCTATCTATCTATCTATCTATCTATCTATCTTTCTTTCGCCCCCCCATATATCTATTTGTTTATCTACGTATCTATGTATCTATATATCTCTCTTTAACCCCATCCCCCCCGCCCCCCCCTCTCCCCCCGCCGGGTCTATCCATCTATCCATCTATCCATCTATCCATCTACGCCCCCCCCATATATCTATCTGTTTATCTACCTATCTATCTATCTATATCTCTATCTACCCCCACCATCCACCTATCTATCAACCTACCACCGTCTGTCTATCTATCTCTATCCATACAGCCCACCACCCCTGTCAACCGTCAAAAGGGAGGCAGATCGGCAAGGTAACGATTGGCCGTACAGTACGTGGCTGTTAGCTGAATGGTGTACTCTACAAATACATTGCAATGAATAACGAAGTATTCGATCCCGCGGCATGCAATGGCATCGCTGCAAACAAACGCAGAGGTAAACTTGACCACAAGAAAGACTGAATACAGTGCAGATCAACTACTAAAAAGAGATGCATCAGTAACAGTCACGTTAAGCAGGGAAAAGTAGAATGCAAATCACCGGAAACTGCACTCCAAACATAAATTGGCGATGTTGGCCTGCATATGCAGACATGTATCAAAAAAGACGATAAGAAGAAAAAGCATTACAAACGACCGCGTGGGAAAATACAAAAAAAGCCATCACATCTAAACGGTTCAAGGCCTTCAATTCAATGATTAGACATAGTCGTGAGTGCAAACATAACAACATCAAAACCTTGCTTTTTTACATCACAGCACCCTTCATTTTCACGCAACAACGAAAAAACAGACCAAAGATCGAAGCCCCCCATGATTGCTCCCTATGAATTATTCCTTACTTGGGGCGATTTGCTTACCAAACCAAAACCTGAGAAGTCCTGGTCCGCATGAACCTAAAAACGTCCATTTGCTCTTCATATTCGTGTTTGGGTTCTGTGGGGTACCGGTGCTATTCATGGTTTCTAGTACAAGCATTGCAATTTCTAGCAATTATAAACTCACCAGGCTTCAAGTCGACGAAGGAAGAGTACGCGGAATTGTACGCCATATCGCAGTAGTAATCACACAGTGGTAAGTCCAATTTACCCTTCCAGCTCCACTGCACATTTCAGACAACAGCAGTCCTCGCTTCAGTGTCTCTCTCTCTCTCTCTCTCTCTCTCTCTCTCTCTCTCTCTCTCTCTCTCTCTCTCTCTCTCTCTCTCTCTCTCTCTCTCNTCTCTCTCTCTCTCTCTCTCTCTCTCTCTCTCTCTCTCTCTCTCTCTCTATATATCTATCTATCTATCTCTATCTATCTATCTATCTATCTATCTATCTATCTATCTATCTATCTATCTATCTCACACACACACACACACACACATATGAAACATGCACTCTGGCAGGATGCACAGTCATGATCATCAGGACGCATTTCGCGCCCACTAGACAGAAGATTGTCCACTAAACAAAGGGGGATGAATTTCGACCTGTAAAACCTTTCAATCGAAGAGAACTCATACACCAAACGGATACACAACTGCATGAAGAGCAAATGCCGGCAATTACGGAGCCCCCATGCAGGGGTGACTTGACAAGCGCCATGCACACACCAGCACTCATTTCAGGAGGGAATAAATTTGACCGGGACAGGAACAGAAAATTTTTAACTAGATGGCACGTTGCAAGAAGAAATGGGGAGCCTGTTACAAATTAGCGCGGTCCATAATAAGACGAGCACGACAGATTTCAGTCATGAATATCGGATGAACGATATAAACCCGCAGTTCACGCGGAGACAGCACAGGCACTAAGACTCGCTGGATACACGTTAGATAGGACCATGGTAGGGAGAGCTGGCAGTTGTCGCTCAAGAAATAAAAGCCAAGCTCACGATTAGTGGGCTGTGCTGAGGTGTCGTTGCCACGGACTTCGGACTGCAGGACAACGTGGAATGTAGTGGACATTTTCACATACATGTGCACTGAAGCTGGCCGTGGTCACGAAGTGAAAACAAACCTCTCGACGACAGAGTTCACACGGAAACAAGAAGGCGAGCAAGCGACAGACATGTCACTAGCATTGAAAAAGTGATTTTCACAATATGAATTAAACCAGACAAGTGGGTAGCCGACCTCATTCACAGCCGCAAAGTCCGAAAGGTCACACTTTTGGGAAAAGCCGTGAGATTTGGACGCAATCAACTAGCTTCCAACCAAACCAAAAATGCTCATTTTGCAGCTTTGTTTTGGATACCAATTATTTTCCAAACAATTCAAGTGTTACTTTATGAACATATCTGTGATTCCTACGAATGCATACGAATCGTGGAACAGACTTGGTCATGCACTTGGTCATGCACTCAATTTCTATAACAAACACTGCACTTGGTCATGCATAAGACCAAAATTTACTCGCTCAGTTCAACAAAGAAGAGAATACCACTTAGATCATCCAGGAAATGAACTAAGAAACCTTCAGAATAAGCGGAACAGATTGCTGACGAACCTCGGACTTCCAGAATACGACGTTCGTTTTCCCGGTGATGCACCGCAGCGGATTCTCCATGAGCTCATTGGAAATGAAGACTCTTTTGGGGCTGATGAACATATTGCCAACATGGCCCATTGTCTGCACACGGAGAAACATCCCACATATTGTTCAGAAATAGACACATAATTGTACACTTCTTGCACAGTTCACGGGAAATGAGCGCGTTCTGAATTCAAGGAGCACGACGATTTACGTTTCTCTTGTTCAGGAGCCAGCCCTCTCCCGTTGCTTTTCCTTCTTGTAGAGTGTTCCCCATTGGCCATTCAATCATATTATTACAGGGGGGGAATCCATCCTGCGCACATGTTCCATTCCTTACCACATTGTTCTTAGCATGATTTTCCTGGAGGATAAGAGAATGCAATACACTTCAGCGGGATAGCGCATGCCCTGGGCCAACGTTTGGGGGAAGAAGAATAGAAAAGCCAAAACGAAACCCGCCAGACCCCTTGCAGGAAGCTCCATTCTTCGAATCGGGCCTCGAAGTGGCAATAAAACAACGAGACAGCGCTCTCCTTCATTTCGAATTGAGAGCAAAATTTCCGCGTTCAGCCGCCAGAACAGCACAAGAGGAGACACAGAACGAACAATAAGACATGTCCATAGAGCGTGCATGTTAAATGTTGTGGGAATCAAAGATGGATAGTGAGACGAATCGAGCTAATAGGATAAGTAAGTGGGTAGCCTCCTGAGGATGACTGCAGAAGACCTGTCGAAACGCGAGGAATGTGCGACCGGTCTCAAGCAATTAGAAGACGTGGCGATGAAAGCCTGTGTAATCAATGTCCTACGAAGATGACCAAGTTGTTGCCGATGCTTTTCTTTTCTTACTTGCATAATGACAGCAGCAGAACTACAGAGGAAGTAAACAAGAACGCGGAGCATTGTTCCACACAGAAACCAAGAAAAACAAAACGTGAGAACAACTCGGAGAGCTATATGATTCGACGTTTGACGTACCGTTTCATGCGCACGATAGAACCAGCGAGCAGTAAACCAGCCGTCTCCATCATCCGTCTCAAATATCTCCGCGACCTGCGCCACGAAATCGGGTTGCCCCGGCTCCGCCTATTATCAAGCAACGGGGAACACAACCACCACCAACACAACAACGAGAGATAAACAACTTGTCGTCGTCGATTATCTCATGTACTCGGCCAAAAATAGGCATCTCAATTCTGGTGTCGAACGGAAAATTGGAGAGCCCTGCAGTTAGAGTACAAAAAAAAAAAAAAAAAAAAGAGTATACATTTTGCGGAATGGAAGCAAGGCACGAATGTGTTTGATAATAAACGACCCGGGAGAAGGGGATAGGAGGCGATAACCAACGCTCTATCTTGGTGCGGTGACAAACATAAGGAGAGGAGCACCCAGGAAAATGACAAGGCAGTTAAACTATCTTTCAAACAACAACGTTATGACTACGGGCCCACTATAATCGAACCAAGGAATTCTTAAACGAATAGCAAGAACTTTCTTAATCGGAGCAGCAAAGACGAGTTCATTTCTTTAAAGACAGTTCCCTTATCGGGGAGACGGGTACCGGAGGCGATTGTGAGGTGCCCCTAAAAAAGATAGTGGTTGGGAAATAGCAGGATGAGTTTCGGCGCGGACGGGCGATGACACTTTTAGCGTTTTTGTATGCAATCCCGGCAAATCAGTGCAGAAAGAAAGGAACTGATGCCACTTATAATAAAGAGTCCTCATTTCAAAAGTACGAACAGAGATACACAACCTTGACATCAGTTCCGGGGTAAAAACAAGCACAAACAAAAAGAGAACAAGAGGCAAAACAGATATGCAACACGAAATTGGAAAGTGGATGGGGCTTGTGGTATACAATCCAAGACAGAGCCTCGCGCTGCTGCTTTACCTTGACGTGTACGGCGTCTCCAAGTCTTATCAGTTCGCCATCGACTTCGACGCAATCATAATGTGCGATGCATGCGTCATCTCGCAGCTCCGGGAGATCAGCATTTCTATAGACAAAACCACATAAGTACACAAAGCGATGGAGAAGCGACTCAATACAACTAGCTGTACATCGTAGCGAAAACAACCATGATACATTAAATTTTAAGGGCCTCGTCCCACATCATTTAGAACTGCCCTTCAAAATGGTCCCACATCACTCAGAACTGCCCTTCAAAATGGTCAGGCAGAATTCCGCAGTGCCCGGTGCCCTAACCTCATTTTGAAGGCGGGTTTAGCCACGCCGCTTCGGATCGCCCTCCAGGTTCAAGTGCGCCGCCAGCCATTTCCAACCTCAAGTTCAAGTCACCTCCGAGAGGTAACTCGAAAATTCTTGAAGATTGGAGTCTGGCGAGTAGGGGCAGTTGTTCCTGCTTTTGGGTTGAGGTGATCGCGCTCTTGATTGACCGGTTGTTGTTTTGCTGCCCCCCAACGCCCTTCTTCGAGGGCGATTTCTTTTTTCCACGTTCTTTATTTCGTGCCTCCGAGGGCGATGTCAAGAGATGCGTGGGGGCGAAGAAACTAGTCCATTGCGTTTCGGCCTCTAGCGCTGCACTTGAGTTTCAAGAAATTTCAAGTGATGTGGAACGAGGCCCTAACATGCACTGCAATCTCATCAACCGAATGAATAAAAAGGAGCAAAGAAAATGGAGGCGTCATGGCACAGCAGGAGGAATCACACGACAAGAAACCGACTGGCGATATGCATCCTCACATCAGGGACCTGCAACGGGCGCAAGACAGCAGACTGCGAAAAGAGGTACTGCAAAGGCGTTCTCTGGAGCGGCTTCAAATCCAGGGCGGCGAGAAACGACGCCATTGGATGGCAATCCGATATTCTGCCCTCACGTGACTGCCCCATGGACGCAAGCCAGAAAAGACTGCACATTGTTCGCTTACTATTCGAGAGAAAGGGAGAACGATGGAGAAGAACCTTGGCTGCGTGTGGCCGGCAATAGGTACCGTAAACTAACCATTAGCATACTCGGTCGATGAGTACGAACCAAAAGTGAAAAACATCGGCGAGTTTCTTCACCAGAAAATTGCACTCCGGCCGGCCAGAGCCGTTTCCGGGCGTGAAAGCCAAGTCATCCAAACAATAAAAACAATAAAACATTCGACGGCCCGATATGGACAAACAAGGAAAGAACTTGAACAAACGAACGGCCAAAGGAAGCAGCAGGCAGAGAACACAGTCGGAGGATGGGCAGAAGGTAAACGTACCCTGCCGGCTTCTGGCGCTTCGTCGGCGGCTCCTCCTTTTTTTTCCTGTTCCCAGATTTGACAGTTTCCTGCAAGCCGGAAAAGACAAGCATGACCGGCGATCAGCGGAAACGGCAGACAGCATTCAGAAACCCACCTGTAAGAACAGAAACAAAAGAACGACGAAAAACCGCTGCCTATTCATCAACCTTTGAGCTATCTCTCAACCCGAGAACAACTGGAAAGAGCTAAGACTATTGATGCGGCAAATGTTCGGACGCATGATGCCATACCTACAACTTGGTCGTACGGAAGGTACATACCGAATGGTGAAGTAAACGTTTCAGGAGTAAGAAAAGAGTAGGAAACAAACCCAAAGTGCCCCTCCCTGAGCAACGACAAGAACGTAATTCAGCCTTGATGAGTCATTCCTCCATTCTGCTGCCACAGAAAAATGACACTATCGTCCCTTCCGGAACAAAAAACGTGGTCCGATACAGTCATGATGGTCCCTTGTGTTCTGTGGAAGACGAGCGACATCTGCTACACCTAACTGCAAGCGGCATGGTCATTGGCTACACCAATACGATCAACCCGCTCTGTAAAGTGAAATGATGCCCGCAATAAGGGTTCGTGAGTCTCGGGGCAAGAAAAACATAAAATGACAGACAGTCAGCGTGACGCAGAGATGCGCAACCTATGCTGATGCTGACAGTAGAAGTCAATCAGAAACACCCGAGAATTCAGAGAATGATGTAAAGCAAATGCTTGCGGACGATGAATAACGACAAGCAAAAGAAGGCGGCTAGTAAGGAAAATGGCAGCTCTTACGTGTCCTCATGGCCGTTGCGACACGAATAGGCCCCACCATGGCGTCCTAAACAAGCTACGAAGACCAAGCATGCCAAGGAGCATCTCAGCCAAGTAATCAAGCCGGCCACAGCCAACAATGCCGGCGGCGCGAGTTTAGCGCTTAGCGTCAAATTAAAGACCTCTCTCTCTCTCTCTCTCTCTCTCTCTCTCTCTCTCTCTCTCTCTCTCTCTCTCTCTCTCTCNCTCTCTCTCTCTCTCTCTCTCTCTCTCTCTCTCTCTCTCTCTCTCTCACACACACACACACACACACACACACACGCACACACACGCACACACACGCACACACGCAGAAGGGTGGACTTACATGAAGGTAACGATGTGGCCATTTACTACGGGCCTCCTCCTTTGATAGCGGTGGCATTGCGAACACGAAGTCTTCTGGGTCACGATTGCGCTTCTTTCCAGTCGATCCAGATTTCGCAGAGGCTTTCGGCGGCGAGCTGTCCTGCATACATTCCGAGTTCTCCCCATCCAACCTCGTCTTCTCATCATCTCCCATCTCCACGACATCGCTGGCGGAATTCGGCGGCGGAGTCAGCTCTCCGTTGCCTTCTGATTCTCCTGGTCGACTACTATGCCCTTTCTGGCCGTTCGAAGCCGCTGCTACGCCCTTTTTGAGGGATGCTCCACCCACTTTAACTTGTTTCTTCGCACCAGCCACAACACGACCTCCATGGCGGCTAGCACCAGTCTTCTGAGCGGCACCGGAAGTGCTGCTGCGTGGTTTGACGGCTAGCGCCTTCACACGACCCCTTCCCTTTCCCCGCAAACTTAGAGCAGGCATGATTGCTCGGCAGGACGTCGCCCTTCTACGCCCGTGATCCCGTTCTACTCTGTTCACAGAAACGTCTGATCTAAGGAGAGAAAAACTTCAGCTCGCCCCCCCTCCTACTTCTCTTATCTCCTTCGCCTTCAATACTCAGATGCTGCCGTTCCGCGCGGCGATAAACGAGAGAATTCCCCCACTCATCTCTCAGAACAAATTCCGAGCAGTGTGTCCGAGAGGTGAGCGAGAAATGCGTCTGGACCCGCTACCGCACACTCGAACTGGAAAGGCTCAAACTACGATAGCATGCCGGCTATGGCGGTAAGTAACAACGGCCACGAACATAGGTCCCCGCGACCGGTCTGACAGCGAAGAAGTGAATGGGGCCCGTCTGGCAAGTGTCAAAGATTACCAGTAAGCGTTTAGTACGGTACGGATGGCGTTTCTTAACGGTCGTGGGGCAACGGTCGCGACCAGAGGTTGGGAGGGGAAGAGGGGAGGTTGGGAGGGGGGAATGAAAATGGGCCTAGATGTGACGCTCGGTTGTGACCAGGAAACTGGGGGACACAAAAAGGCGCGAGGGTGACACTAGGATTTCGTGGCGGAGGCGGGGGATACAAAACGCTTTTTTTTTTCGTACCGTTTTCGGAAAATCGGCAGGCCCCGCCTACGCGGGGAGCGGGAAGAAGGCCCCGCCCTTTGTTCGAATTCGAACTTTGAAATAGAGCGCGAACAACCCGTCCAGTTGCTCACTGGCTCGCGGATAGCCACAGCGGAAACAGGCTAGCTCAGTTCTGCAGTGCCCGCCACTGCGTAAATACAGGACGTGCAGACTGTGGTCTGCGACGCGGGCGTCGATGCACAACACAGCAGCCGTGTGCCCTGACTTTTGCATCGCAGCGGCGAGGGTTGGCAGGGAGGCAGCCTCCTTTGGGCAGCAAGAAAGACTGCTATTATTACTGTACTGTAGTTGTGGCCATGAAGAAACTGTGATGTGACGAGGGTACACCCAGCTGCTGACCTCTTAATCTGGGCACCTGTCGTTGTCAACCACCGTGGAACACATAGGCCCCACATTGATCATCCTACCACCGTGATGGGACCACTCCCTTCGGGCCAGGCACTACCCAAATTGGCCAGGTTTATGCTTAGCAGAACGTAGCATCAGCAGATCCACGTTTGTAGTGGGCGACCATTTTCAAGGCCATCTTGACCAGCAGAGAGTGGGTGCCCAAGCCGCCAAGTGTTTCCCATAGGCCTGAACGTTTTGAGATGGAGATGGCAAGGCCAGGGATAGGTGTCTACCACTGTAATTTTCTTGTTGGTGCTCATTGCATAGTGTTGATGGCGTCAAGAAATGGTACCAACAAGACCAGCGACTTTGAACTAGCATGAAACACTGTGCATGTAACAAGATATGCATGTAACACATTGCATAGTGGAGATGGCAAGACCAGCGACTTTGAAGTAGCATGAACCAGGCTATCACCGAAAAGCCCTACTATCTCCCCTCTTGTCACCTCTGTTGCAGACACCAGCCACAAAATGCAATAACGCAAACTTGTGGAAAGTGAGCTGGGGGGCAAGAGAAAGAGAGGGAATGTGGGAGAGGAGAGGGGCGAAAAGAGAAAAGGGGCTGTTGCTTATAATATTTCCATTTTTCGACTGTTTTACCTTTGATAGACATTAGCTCCTATATATTGTTAATGGTGGGGGGCAAAGTACCAGTTTTGGCATAGAAAAGTGAAACTACATCAGTTTCCTTGGCTAATTGTGTACAAGTCATAACAGATGTCTTTGGAACTATCATTTCATAGCAGTAATAATTTTAGGATACTAAAATGTATACATCACAATTTTGGCTACCATTAGGGAAAATTACCTCCAAAGGTTCTACTGATGCATAAATGGTCAATATGCCCTCCTTACATCGTACTTCGAGCATGAAATCAGACACTGTTGCATTTAGATTAGCGCGAATATATTAGATTGATACTTTTATTTTCATTTAATATGGGCATGAAAGCTAATAATCACCATTGTTAACATTTCTTTTGGTTTTCGTTTTTCTTCTTTTTCCTTTCAGACATGTTTACCGGGCAATTTCCTTTACGTCATTAAGTAATGTAAAAATCATAAATACAATGGAAAAGCTTAGATAGCCATATGATTTTGCATTTATATTTGTAAAAATCACATTATAAGCTAGGCTACCAGCTGGGTCACCCGTGTCCCGGGTAGCCAGCCCGTGCAAGGACCAGGGAAGGTCCCAGTAAAAAAAAAGAAAAAAATCCAAAAATTCAAAAAACAAACTATGTTATGCAGAAAAATAAAGTGAACAACTTTTGCTTGAGGGTCACATCTAAATTTTTCACCAGATTTAAAATAAAAAATAAAATATATTTTATTTTAGGCTACCAGTCGGGCCGCCTGGGTCCCGGGTGGCCAGCCCGCGCAAGGACCAGGAAAGGTCCCAGCAAAAAAAAAAGAAAAACAAAACTCGAAAAAATCCGAAAACAAACTATGTTATGTAGAAAAATAAACTGAACAACTTTTGCCCCAAGGTCACATCGAAATTCCTCACCGAATTTAGAAAAAAAAATAAATATTCTTATTTTATTTATTTTTTTATTGTTTTTTGGCCCGGCCGGGCAAGTGACCCCGGGCCACACTGGTAGCCTAGATTTTATTTATTTATTTTTTTATTTTTATTTTTTGGCCCGACCAGGCAAGTGACCCCGGGTCACTCTGGTAGCCTAGTTTATTAGGAAATATAACGTAATAAGGTTTAATTATTTGTTTTAATAAAAGATAAAACAATATCACTTAATTAGGGAAAATACGTACCTGTTGAGTAACACGTCACTCAAATCGACGGACAAGGGTGCATCACGAGTAGACGAACATGTGACATGGTACAAGTTTTGATTATTACGGCAACAAACAATCGAGCGAACAAACCGTTGGTGGCATTTTCTTAGGAGCTTTGTGTCTCATAGGGCTTGTCTTAATACCAGTGTAGGTATCAGCGCAGGGTTTGTTCTGTTGCTGAAAAACGGGTCCGTTTTGTCTTTGAGTTCCAAACTTGGGATTGGTTACGAGTGTAATGCTGCCTAGCTCGTAAAAGGTATGAAAGTTTTCATTTTCGTTCAACATAATAAGGTTATCACATGAATTGTTAGTTTTGTTGTCTTGTTGTAGATATAAAAATAGTGGGAATTAGTGTTTTAGTCCTTTTTTGGTCTTACGTTTGTTAGAACTCCATTATTTTCGAAGATGGTCGGAGTATCAAGACGCCGGAGTGTAAAAGAAACTAGTAAAGACAAGTGTAGCGCAAGGATTTTGGGACAAGATTGCGCTGGAGAAGCCCCCTTAGTAGGACGAACGAGTGGTTGTAGTCGACACTAGTCGTGGCTGTCGTACTCGTTGGAAGAACCACTTCGATATTGTATGTGTACAATTGTGCATGGTGATGTGTACCGATATGTTTTTTGTATTTGAGTTAACTACGTACTTCGGTGATTGGAGTATGCTACGTTCTCTGTTCTATTTCAATAATGCACCTTGTATTTGAACCTACGAACGGTGCATGTGAACTACCAGGATATGTTTATCCAAGCTTGTATGAGCATGTTTTTAATGCGGGTTACTGTTTGTGATTATGACGCATGATTACTAAGAGTGTGACAATCGTCTATTTTAATAATTAATTGAGAAAGATGAAAAACGTTATATAAAAGACTATTAAAGGGGACCACCAACTGACATATGTATTCATATATCACAACGGAGTTATGTTTCAATGAGAGGATAAATATGGACGAGGTGAGAAACACTACAAAAGATAAGATCGGTGAATCAAATTTCCCCTCCTTGATGGCGAAAATAAAATGCAGTAAAGTTTCGAGTTTATGGACAAAAAATTATTTCATTGCAGACTTGCAACACAATCAACGGATCTTTGCTAAGACATATTTTTTCGTATGCAGTTGTGTAAGATTATCCAGTCCCCTATTACAAGAGTATGCACTTGCACGAGTTTGGTGAAGTTTGTATATTGTTGTAGAATGCCAATAATATATAAAAATTCAATCATCCAGATCGACTGACGTTGTTATGTTAGGAGATCGATGAAGCTTTTGAGTGATGAATGAACAAGGGTACACAACCCATTTCGGTACTGAAAGTGGAAGTAAGATACTGTATATTGGCAAGTCAAATTATTTGGACGTAAAAATGGTTAAGGATATAAAGAAGAAATATGAAGGTTACATATTTGTTATTTAAACTGAGATCCTGGTAAAGCGTTAATACTGTGTCAAAAGTTATATTACAAAGCAACGATGGAGATTTTTTAACGTAGTTGACGGTACAAAGTGGTTGTAAAAAGTGAGTTGGTCGTGAAGCAGATGATGAGGGTCGAATTGAAGGGGTGTGGATTTACACTCTTCGTAGGGTTTGAGCAGAAAGGGCCTTTTAAATTATCATACGTTCAACCCAAGTACAATACTTTGAATAAATAGCAACCAATTTATTAATCATACTCAAAACCAACGATAAGAGTGAGAAGAGTTGTGAGAAAAACTCACAATCATTTGTTATCCGGACTTCATGAGAGATGACATTTTAACTTGAAGGCAGTAACCATTTTAAAATCGTAATTGGAAAAAATAAATGAAAATTTTTCAGAGTTCACATAGGAAGGGCTACAAATGTCCTCAACGTCTTACGGTATTGAGTCATTTGCATAATCGATTACCGTATCGGCAAGGGGTGAAAAATGGTGAGGGTGAACACAAAGGAACGTGACAGTGTATTTGAAAGAACCATTTGAAAAAAATTGATCTCGAGGAGTCGAGGTTCGTGAAACTCAACTTACACCACATATACCCTAAGGCTAATTGAGTTTTGTCATGATAAGTGGTATGCGTTCCCGTCGGAAAAAACAATATTTCTTCACTTTCTTTAACCATGTGAGTGCATTATGAGTTTTTGTTAATGACGAAGTTAGGTAAGCTTCGTAATAGGATGTTTCAATTCATACAT